TTGGAAGGAGGGTGGAAGGACTGGAAACATTTCACAATGTATCAAGTCCTCTGTGATGTCTTTGGATTGCTTAAGCAACTATTACTCATGTTTTTCAAACCAGTATGTTAGTATTTTGGGACTAGCTTTGGGTGCTATGCATTATGTTTATTTGCATATTATAATATTGTTGCATTTGATTTTTCACGAAGTCATTCAACTGTCTGTTGAATAACAAAATTGTAGGGTTTTAAAGCAGAATGTAACTGTTCTTAACTGAAAGATATATAGTAAAAGCTACACAAAATGAGAAACAAGTCCTCTTTCTGTAGCCTCCAAGATAACAGTCATAGTCCTGTCTACTAAAATTCAGTATTGTTTTAATAAAGGGTTTTGGATCAGGCAGAACTTTGTTAGACCAAGAGAAATATTGCATGCCATCAGATGTCAATTTGTATTCTGTAATAAAAAGGCCTGTGTAAAGGTGTGCCATCCTCATGAATAATGTAAATGTTTCTGCTATTGGACCCAGACCAAAGCAGCATGGGAGTTAAAATCGCTAGCTGTCATTTGTTTACTAGGGCAAGAATAATAATTGCTGATGGTGGTCTGACATAGGTTATTATCTGACAATATTATTAATTTTATCTACTTACACCGAAATACTCCTTTACTGCTTTTAAGGTTGTGGGTGACAGCTGGAGCGGAGCTTTCTGTTCCAAGTGCTTCTGATACAGTTGTGCTAGGTCAGAGAAGTGAGAAGGCTGGTGTCTTTCTTTATCTTTGCAGTAGTCTAACACATCTTCACTGAGACGTGTTTCTGGGGGAGGATGCATGGAGACCTGCGTGTGGGAGGGCTTGCAACAAAACCTGTTAGAAAACGTGATGTGAGTTGGGGCTGTGTTATGTCATTGTCGCTCGGGATTTCAGAAAGGTGCTTTGGGCTCAGCGGGCACAAGTCCAGACTGCAGCCTGCTTGTCCTGCAGATTGTGTCTGAAGTAGAAGGGGGGAGGTGACAAAAGAGGGACAGATGGTACCAGGGAGGAATTTAAGAAAGCACTTGTAGAAGGTTGGTTATTATGAATGGCAGTATGTACTGGGGACCTAACCAGCCTGTTGAAGGCTTTTAGCTATTGATTTATCAACTCTTATTTTTATGCTTAAGATGTCAATGCGTTGTTTAGAACATGCTTGTAGGAAAGTTGTAGCTTGTGAGTTTCTGGTCTCCTACTGCCATTTGGGAGTGGACAACTTGGCAAATTTGATTTGTTACTCTAGGAGCCACAGGTAGAGCACATGTATCCTTTCTCTGTCTATCAGAAGAACGACTGAAATATGTTTATGAAAAGCAATGTCTAGTGGATCATGGAGGAAAAAGACCCTACTTAAACTTGTCATGAAGCTGGCAGGTACACATGGTTCTGATACAGTTGTGCTAGGTCAGAGAAGTGAGAAGGCTGGTGTCTTTCTTTGCAGTAGTCTAACAAGTAGTGCTTGTTATTACGAGTCACTCCTGATTCTCAGTGGGTACCTGGTGTTTTTTCATTCCCTCTCTCTTTTTTTCTTTGAACATCAAAGTGAGCACCACCCTGTCTGCTTGCTGGTGCAGATTCTAAGTAAGGCTTTTAGCTGCCCTAGAATTGTTTTTCAGGCCTGTTGAAGAATTCTGCCTCTGGCAGTGGCAGAGGTACTACTGCTATGAGTAAGCTGTGTAAGAAGTTGGTGATCTTGGCTAAAAAAAACCCTGTAACAAGTTTCACATAAAATCATGTGGACTGGGGTGATTCACATTACTTTTGCTGTCTTTTCTGTGTTGCTATCTGTAGATGCAGAGCGGGGTCTAAAATGACTTACCAAAGTTACTTGCTTGAAAATCCTTGGCTTGTCCTGAGAAACTATTGTTAGGTATTAAAACTGAGAAGCCACTGCTGATGATAATGATTTCTAAATTTGCATCTTCACCTGCTGTGTGGTAATCCAGACAAGACAAAAAAGTAGATTTATAAATTTATACAACATGGTTTTAATGTGATTCTTATCATACACTTTTCTCATAATTCACTGAGAGTCAATGGTATTAGCCATAGGGTTCCACAGTTTGAAAACAATTTGCTTGAAAACTTAATACTGTTCATTCTAGGTATTTTCCTATTGTCGTTCACCACAAAGAATTTGAAGTTCTGCATAATGATGCACTTGACACTTAAAATTCATTGCAACAGGATTTTATTTTTTTTTAAAAACATCTTTGGCTTTCAAATGTAAAAGATCAAATCTTTTGCAACTTAAAGTCGGTGAATGAAACTCTGTGTACGTTAGATTTAGTATAGCATTGTCCTTGATTTCATTTAAATGGGAATTCTCAGGTAAACAATTTGCTTTCACAAGTTTATATGAAAATCTGGTCCTCAGTTTTCAAAGAAAACCCCAACCATTTATTTATAAGGACATATTTATTTATAATAAACAAGGCAAGTCAAATAACACTTCATCCTTGAAAATGGGGATTAGATGAAAGAACAAGTAGTGGTAAAATCTTTGGATTTTAACTCCCCTATGGATCCTTAATGGATTAGTGATGCTCCATTAAAATAGCAAGGACATGCTTCTGGCTTTACACTGGAAATATTTTAATGTTGCATGGCTTCAGTCAATATTTGATTATCTATTTGGTTATCTCTGTAATGATTCACCCTATTATGAAGGTCATAATATGTATCCCACGTCTGATTCTCAACAGAGACTTATAGGTTTCTTTTCTTTGTGAGGTATTAGCAAGAGTTTCTTAGAAGCTATATTTGTTTGACAGTTTGCTTCCTTGTGGTTCTGACCACAACTTCAGCCCAAGAAGTACAGGGCATGAAAGCATATGTAGGATGTGGTAATTTGCTATAGCAACTTGCTTAACTATTTGATGAGTAGCTTCTGTATTTTTAGATGTATTACTTCTGTAGAGATTCAGCTTCTCTAGCTAAAAGAATTTGCAGAAGCAATAAGAAGATTATGTGTTCAGTTTTGTGGTTGTTATTTAAAACACTATTTTAAGACTTAAACTCCCACTCATTTCAGTTTGCTTTTTTTCATTAACCTACCTCCCACGTTCCTCTCAGTAGTTGTTTTATTACCTTTATTTGGCTAAAGATTCCTGTTGCCTAACACAAAAGTGCTTTTCTTTGCTGACTCTTCGTGTCTTTTGAGAATAATTTTATTGCTAAAGTAGCCCTCAGTGGTTTTTTGTGGTTTTTTTTTTTTGTGGGTGTTTGGGTTTTTTTTTATTTATGCTTATATTTATTAGTTTAACCTTTTTGAGAATTGCACTAGGAGCAGTTCACTTGCACAACTGTCCTTTTAAACTACTCGATGTAAGCAACTCCTTATTCATTGTGTTCTGGAACACCCATAACTTGAGCTGTAATAATAACAGGAGTTTCGAAAGCTCCTTTTTTCATTTGCTTCTTCTGGAAATCGGGATTAAAAATGTTATTGGAGTTTGCTTAGCTGAGGGATCTGCAAACTATTTTAAGTTTGGATGGATGATTCAGTTCTTTTGGCCAAACTTAACACTACTGGGTAACAGGATTCTCTTGAGGTGCAGGGATCTGTTGCAATGTCAACAAACGTAAGGGGGGTGTGTGATTGATTCGAGTTCAGTTCCATCTGGAGATGAGTGGGAGGTAGGGCAAAAAGGGGAGAAGAAGACAGCACACCAGTGGGTCTGTGCTTTGCTCTAGATTTGGAGGACACAAAAAATGAAAATACTTAGTACCTGAGAGCTTGTCAGTGGCACCAACCATACTTCATTGCATACCTTGGTGTTAGGTTAGAGGTTTGAAAACTTGTTCGTTTTGGCAGCCTCTGGCTGAGGCAGCCATGAGGTCATTTTTTGGGTTCTTGACAACTAGTTCTGTGAGATTCTTTCCTAGTGTCTCTCACAGAGCCTGGAAACTGTATGACAGGGTGTTTGTGTTGTAGCTATTTTTTAGTTGTTTTAATTTATTTAACATAATTGCTTGTCCCTTAAGATGATGGTGGTTTTAAACAAGTAGTTCAACACAAGTATTTATTGAAGTTCTGTAGAGCTCAGTGGAATTCCCCTCATCTGTGTGACCTGCTTATCTTGTTCTGGTTAATTTTGCAGCCTAGAAAGCTGAGGTCTTCCCTCTACTCTGAGGATGCTGTTCACCTTGCTGAATCGTAGGTTCTGACTCTCCACCCAATAATGGTGGTTCTGTCAGAGGGCAGAGCTGAAGAAGCAGCCCCTGGTGATACTGCCACAGGCCTGGTATCTCTACAAAATACACTATGTCTGCTACTGTGCAGGAGTGTAGCTTGCTTTCTTTTTTATATTTTTTTTTTTCCACCGTGTGTTTCTCGACAATGAGGAACACTCCTAATTTTCTTGGAGTTATTTGAGGTACGGTTCCTTAGCTTCTGGGAGGGGTACCAATCTCAGTAGCAATTTCTCTGCATTTGTTTGGCCAGCACCAGTTACTCCCGTACAAAGAGGACAGAGCAAAGAATATTGCCTGTTGGGTTGATTCAGTGAGGTTATTGAAAGAAGGATATTTCTGGCTAGTACTTAAACTTCCTGTTTTTTCCCTTAGGTTTTGGCCCTGTATAAACAGGAACATATTGCTTATGGCTCATATTATACTGTGTTAGTTAAATGTAACATCTAAGTGTTTACAGATTATTTTTTTTATTATGTTTTGGCAATAAAATTGGGGAATTACTTGTTTAAGGCTAGTTGGAAAACTTCGTGCCTGTTATTATGTAAATCAGGCAGACAAAAAACAACAAAGCTCAGAAACATACATTCTGCAGTCTCGTTCACTGGATTTTCCATTCAGTTTTGTCTTGTGGGGGAGTTTGGGAAAGAAATGAGCTTATCACAGGAACTGCAGGTTGTTATAAGCCGCAGCCTGCTGGTTTGCTGGAGGAGGGAGATTGTAGGAACCTGCCAAAAGAGCTTATGTTAAAGCTGTAAAGTGACTCTTCTGAATATTTGCTCACAGTAACGGATCAAGCCTTTGTGACCCTTGCTACCGATGATGTGTACTGTCAAGGCGCTTTGGTTCTCGGACAGTCGTTGAGGAACCATACGACATCTAGAAAATTGGCAGTACTAATTACACCAGAGGTTTCCAGTGGGATGAGGTAAGGATTCATGTATTTTTGGAGGTTGATAATGTGGAAGAATAAACAACAGCATGAAAGATTTTAATAGGCTTCCTGTGGATTTCACAGCATTATGTCGAGCAGTTCCCCCTTGGCCAGTGATTTCTGAGAGGAGTCCCAAATATCATCCTTGATAAGATCGTAAGCCTAATAAGAATTCACTTGCAGAAATAGATCTTGTGGCTGGAAGTTGTCTTAAGCTCATAATTGGGAAGATAAGCTGAAAGTTTGGGGACCAAGGGCTTAGTGTCTTGCTGTTGAGCTGAAATAAAGGCATTACTGTTTTTTTCCCCCAAGTGTTTCTCTTTTAGAAAGAGCAAAATCCATAACCACCTGTGACATGTAGAACTCTCCAAAAACCTTAGGGGCTCAGTTTCAGATGTCTAATCTTCTTAAAAATATTGGATTTCTGTATGCCATGTGAAAGTATTTGCAATGCGTCTGGCTCAAAAAACGTATTTGCCCATTTTTGCTCTGATGAGATGTACAAAAATCTGTTTTTACAGGTTTTTTGAAGTATGGATTTTGTCAGAACACTATAACCTTCTTGAGGGAATACTGTATACATTTGACATGTGGGTGGATAATAAGTCCATCAGTTTTTTCATGCCCACTTCAGTGGAGGGAAAAACCTTTGGTGTATTTTTTTTAATCAAGCATAGCATTTAAAAAAAGTACATCACTGAACTATGCTTCTAAAAATCTGTACCTGCTCTTAATTCTTTCCCAGTTAACTCCTGTCCCTTGAAGATCAGTCAAGCAAAAGCTAATGACTCTGAAATCTAGATAATCAGCCCAGGATTTTCTTTTTCTGTGTTTGTATGACATCCAGGACTTCGTAGTTAATAGTGTAATGTAAATAAAGGAGCTGTGTTTAAAAGACTTTTTTCTTGTGTCTTGAAGGAAAATTACCTGCTTTGGTATCACCTATGAAATTTCCATGAAAGATAGGCATAGAGAAAAGATGTCTTCCCAAAAGTCTCATTTGAGATGATTTGTAGTAGTGAGCAAGTATATATTGCCTGTTTTAAAAGGTGGACTTCTGAAGCTGCGTTCACTTGGGCGTAATAGATGCAAATGACTGTACTTACAGTACATGCCACATCCTGTGCACTGCACAGGGAACACAGTACGGTGCTGTTCTTTAGAGTCAACTGTGCAGGATGAAAGCTGCTTTAATTTCTGTTGGTGTTTCTGTAAGACATTAAGCAACTAAAATAAGGGTTGGTTTCTCCTCCATACAGCACCTGTCGCTTTTGAGATGTGCTGGCCCTGTCGTGGAAGAGATGGTGGTTTATGGCCTGAGAGCTACTACTTCAGCAGACTGTTTACAAGGACTTTTCACTTTTGACGTCTCATTCTAACCGATCAATCTAGCCTTTGTTATTGTCATAAAAAATGTTGTGTGGTGTGTCACTGTTTTCATGCCAGAAATGAACTCTGATGAACCTCTCTAAATTCCCTTCTTTCTCGCCACTGCTTGCTCTGGTAGGTCCGTTCTCCGTAGTGTGTTTGATGAAGTGATTGAAGTGGATGCTCTTGACAGTGCTGACTCAGTCCGTTTGGCTCTGATGCAGAGGCCAGAACTGGGTGTAACCTTCACTAAGCTTCACTGTTGGACTCTTACTCATTATAGCAAATGTGTCTTCATGGATGCAGACACTTTGGTGAGTAGACTGGGAGCCGTGGAAACATTTGTCTGTCTTAAAGAGCTACTCTGAGTGTGGGATACTTGCTCATCAGGCACCCTGCTGGCCTATGAAGTGACCAGATTTGCTGATGGTTACAAGGTCGCAGGAGCTCCAGCTGGCATGTTTTGGCAATGCTCACAGTTTTGTTGGCTGCCTAGAAATAATTGCTGTTTTGAGTAGCCTCAGGTCTGTCCTCAAAAGATATCACAAACACACTCTATGCAAATGGGATTCTGACAGATTTTTAAAATACATCTCTGTCATATACTTTCGTTTAGACTTATTCTGGTCAGAAGGCAGGCCAGTTTTAAAACGCAGGTATGGTATGTTACATTATTTAAAAGGACCTTCTAGAGGGTCTCAGAAGCTCATGAAATAATTTGACAAGGTTTGTGCTTTTATCAGAGAAAACATGGAGAACCACAATTAATGGACCTGTTGGAGCGAGTCCAGAGGAGGGCCATTAAGATGATCAGGGGGCTGGAGCACCTCTCCTGTGAAGACAGGCTGAGAGTTCGGGTTGTTCAGCCTAGAGAAGAGAAGGCTCTGGGGAGACCTTGTTGAGGCCTTCCAGTACCTAAAGGGGCCTGCAGGAAAGATGAGGAGGGACTCCTTATCAGGGAGTGAAGTCACAGGATGAGGGATAATGGTTTCAAATTGAAAGAGGGTAGATTTAGATTAGATATTAGGAAGAAATTAATTACTGTGAGAGTGGTGAGATATTGGAACTGGTTGCCCAGAGAAGCTGTGGATGCCCCATCCCTGGAGGTGTTCAAGGCCAGGTTGGATGGGGCTTTGAGCAACCTGGTCTAGTGGAAAGTGCCCCAACCCATGGGGGTTGGAACTGGATGATCTTTAAGGTCCCTTCCAACTGAAACCATTCTGTGATTCTATGTTACTTTATTGTATTAAAAATAGAGGTTCTGACCTCTAGCATAATTTGCATTGCCACAGTTTTTGTGATCTGCAAGCTATATCCTTGGCAAACTAGCAATTTAGTGCCTTCATACTGATTTAGCTACTCATGTTCTAGAAAAACATTTGCTCTAACAATTTTTCTTTTTTCCTACTGTCTGTAAGGTGCTTTGCAATGTTGATGAATTGTTTGATCGAGAAGAGTTTTCAGCAGCTCCTGATTCTGGCTGGCCTGACTGCTTTAACAGTGGTGTATTTGTGTTCCGACCTTCTTTGAAAACTTACAACCTGTTGCTCCGGTTTGCTGCTGAACATGGCAGCTTTGATGGTAAGGGGCAAGGCCTAAGGGATGAAGTGCAAGATAGCAGATTCCTTTTCAGTGAGCTGTTTTTCCATAGCTTCCATGCTATCTGGCAGAATGGAGGAATGCAGGAGTTCTCTGGGCTTTATGTAATTGCGCCCCCTGCAAAAATTTAAGGCACTGACCTTTGCCTCTCACACTGTACTGAAGGCCCATTGACTTATTGTGGACTGTCCAGAAAACTGTAGTGAAGGGACACTGTGTCTGAGTCTTGCTCAGCAAGTGTTAATTTTGCTGTCTGGTTTAGGAGAGAGGAATACAGCTGATCTTCAGTCTTCTACTCTGAGGGAGACCAAACCCCTTTCCTACTCCTTTCTTCATATATTACAGTAGGACTCCATTTACACTGAACTTGCCTCGGAGTGGATCAGGTATTACTCACTTCTACCTGTTCACGTGCTCATATTGTCAAGTCCAAGTTGCAGTTGCATGAACACATCAGTCTCACTTCCATCCTTGGATGTGAAATTCTGACGTAAATTTGAGCGTATGCATAATTATGGTAATGATGTTTTATATGTTCTTTAGGAGGTGATCAAGGCTTGCTGAATAGCTTCTTCAGCAACTGGGCAACAGCCGATATTGGCAAACACTTACCTTTCCTGTATAACTTAAGCAGCAGTGCTGTATACACCTACGTTCCTGCTTTCAATCAGTAAGTAGTAACGCTTCTGACTATAAATCTCCGTAGTTTGTTAACAAACATTCTATTATAGGAGAGAATAATAATGTTATATTCTGTTGATTATCAATTACAGTAGTCACAAATGATGTTTTGTAAAACTCGTGCAGTAGAAGCTTAAATGCAATATGAATGTTTTGCATCTGGACACAGAGAGAGTCCCAGAGTTGGCTACACTGTTTATTATGTTGTTTCTGAGAAGTGTGTCTTGTGTTTGAAAAGATGTAGATTACCTTAGCATTAGGTTGTGACAGCTTTACTTTGAAAGTTTTTCCCTTCTTTTCCAGTCAGTTCTATGGGAAACAGTCGGGGTACTTTTTTATTTTTTTTAAAACCATTTCTTAGGTTCTTCTGGGAAACAAAATTTGGGCTAGTAATTATAGGTCTCCAGACAATGCAGTTAGAGAAACTTTTCTGGCAGAAGCCAAGTCGGATTTAGGATGCTGTGAACTGCTGCTCCAGTTGCATAAACCACTCTTACTGGAAGGTGAACTTAGGACAGTGTATTTTTTAGTGATTTTTAATATGGGATCAGTAATAACCAACTTTCTTGATTCAATTTTTGAAGTGGTATTTATTTGTTTGTGAACAGAGTATGCAGGAGGACTGGAAATGGTACTGCATGAGCCTGTCATTTTCCTTCATGAGCTGTTCTACTAGAATCAGCAGCTGGAAGCAAATGGCAATGCAGCCTTTTGTTTTATGTATTCTGAATGGGATACATTAAACTAATAAGATGATAGAAAAAATATTAATATTTGCTGTTGCAAAATGTCAAAATTGCCACACCAGTGTGAGTAAGCCTGTTTCTTTAACAGTTTATTTAGGCTAAAAGATATATATTTAATGTACAGACCTATATGTTTAATCTCTACAGTTTTGGTAGAGATGCCAAAATTGTTCACTTCTTGGGAGCGACGAAGCCCTGGAACTACAAATATAACCTCCAAACAAAAAGAGTTATGCAGGATGGCACCACCACTGGATCTTTTCATCAACTGTCATTTCTTGCCCTCTGGTGGAATATATACAGTGCCAGTATATTGCCTTTGTTAGAGAAGCTTCAAAAGATGGAAGAATCAGAATCTGAGGAATGCAAGGTAACTAAAAAGGAGTTAGTGGGAATATGCTGAAAATTATGTGTTTGCTAGAGGAAGGAATTACATGGAAAAAACATAATATCTGTTGATTGGTAGTAGCAATGATTGCTTCTAGAAGCATCTAAACTAGCAGTTTAGGAAGGATTTTTAGTATTACTGGCTTTCCAAAGATTTTCCCCAGCCCCCTTCTTAATTGATGAAAGTTTGTATGGAAATGTACATGTATAGAGTCTGCAAATTAAACACAAAGTATGATACAAATTAGCCACAGAAGGTGATAAACTGGCTATGAAACAAACACTTTTGACTTTTTGAAGCTAAGTTGATGTAGACTGTCAAACTAGCCCTTGAACTATAGTAAAATTCACCTTTTCAGAACTGCATTATAACTTGTTTTATGAGGGTTACAACAAAAAAAAAAAATCAGATTTGCAAAGACAGTGTTAATTACATGCAGTATTTGTGTGTCAACAAGCACTTACTGAGCTCCTTACAGTGTTGGTTTTTTTTCTTCAAAGAAAGTACAGCAATGTATGGTTTCCATGAATAGAATAAAAAATCTGTGATAAATAGATGATTTCTCGGATAAAGTAATGAGTAGGAGAGGTATGATTTTTAATTTTATATCCAGACATGACAACTTAGATCACTTTTATAAATATGTAAATATTTTCTTAATGCTTTTCTAATATTAGACTATTACCATTATTGAAATAATTGCATAGTCCGATAAGATCAGTTGGACAATTACCATCAAAGCCCCAGACAGGAATTTGGTTTGTTAACCTCATAATAAATTGGGAAGCAGAGGAAGGAATGGGTAGTTTTTGATCTCGTAGTTTAACGTACTTTAATTTTTAAGAAATTGTGCAGTAAAAAATATTTCAGCCATGGTAAAATGAAAGTGGCAATACCTGTTAGGTTTACCTCCTGATGATGCTGGTATACTCATGAGTGCAAAAATCTTAATTGCAACATGCTCTGAATCTGGGATCACAAACTTCTTGAATTTATTAATTTATTCCTTTAATGCTGAGATCCTGTAAGGAAGTGAAGCTGTTGTAAATAAGATATTAATCTACCGCAAAATTGCATTTCAGTGGTGAGATGTTCTTGGGTTTTTCTAGCACACTTTCAATGGAGTTGAAATTACACTGAAAAAGGTCAGTCCTTCTGTGGCCAATTCGCTGCGAACGCCTGTGCTTCCAGAGCAGACATATGAAACATATCCCACAGCATGTCCACCTGAGGAACTCACTTTTGAAGTTGTAAGTATATTGTATATTACTACATGCAGTAACAAAGTAAAATGATATACTAAAATGAGATATATTTTTTTTAATTATGTTTCTGATCTGGGAGATTGTATCTTCTTCAATTTAGCTGTAGCTATCGAATTTTCTTGCTAGCATCAGAAATAGTCTAAAGAGTATTTATTTTCTTTAATCTTTTGTCACGCATGCATGATGTGTCTGGGGGTTGAAATATTTTGCACTGAATTTTACGAAGAAATTGCTTATTGAAACTTGTTAGGTACTTAACAGAATCTTTTTATATTTCAATTTATTACCAAGGTAATCTTTTGAATATTGATACTCTTGTGAATTGATATATTTAATATAACTAGAATCCTTTCTATCACTCCGATGTAGAAATTATTGGGTTTTTTCCCCAGAAGTGTTGACTCGGAAAACTGTTCCCCAAATTTCTGTGACTTGGGCAACAAGGAGTGTCTTAAAAGAATCCACTGATGATCACTGTAGGGCTTCTGGTTCTTTTGTTGCTCTTCTTGTATTTGGGTGTTTCTGTTTCACTGACTCCCCTTATTTTATGCAGAAATTAAATTGGACATAATAGCACAATGATTCTGCAGGTCTAAGTCATTATATCTTGTATGATAAACTATGCTACAGCAAGGTACAATGGAAGAAAATAAAATGAATGTTCTAATGTCATCTGCTATTGTAAGTTGTGGACTACTCTCTAGTAAGATGAAGACAGTTTTTATTATGTTCAGTGCGTCATCTGTTTAGACTATAGTTACACCATAAAGTAAAACTGTAGTCTTCCTTTGTTTCTTTTCCACCCTGAGTGTGGAGGGGCTGAAGGTAAATTGCAAACCTTCCAGCTCTATAATTTAAGAATAAATTATTTGCAAAGGATGTGTTATCTTGTGTGCTTCATGCATCTGACTCCATTGGAAATGCTCAAAGCAAATAGAGACGCACTTTCAAGATGTTTGTTTGGGGTAAAACAATCATAATGTTCACTTAAAGTAGTGTCATTAAAATTTAAATTTCTTTTATTTTTTAAATTACTAGGATTGGTTTATCAGAAGGCTATATTAATTAGAAATTAATAGCCTGATTCCCTTCTTAATTAGGACCACCGTCATTCCACTTTTTGTTGCTTAGCTTCAGTAGTCTTGTGGGATTGTTGTTTTTTGTGGAAGAGACTTGAGAATGGGGTCGGTCTACTCATTTATGTTTTGATATCAGGCAAAGGCAAATATTTGGGGCAGTATTTTCAGGGCAATCTATTTTACCTCTTATGGAATTCATTGTTCTGTTCTCATTCTATACATATAAAAAGGTCATGAGTTATAGTTATCCTAAAACAAGATTTTTCTCGTTGAAGTTTAGTCTTGTGAATGGTAGGCACCTACTGTAAGCTCGCTTTCCAGACTCTTTCTGTAGTCGCTGAAGAATGACAGCCACTCTTGAACCTATTTTAGGATGAGATGAGCTGCCCTCTGGAGGTACTTATCCTAGATTGATTATAGTAGGAGCTTAGATTCAATACCATTTTGATAGCTAAAGCTGGGTGAGATGAATTTTGCCCTCAGTGATAATGTGTTTTGTACCTTTTCCTCCCATTCCCTGCTTTCCCCTACCCCAAGACTGAAATTGATTTGTATTGTATGAATTCTCATGATAAGGAAACTATGAAAAAATATTCTGCTAATAAAACCTCAGTGGCTGTATTTTTAGCAACCTGTATGTGAAGTTGAACAAAGCGGTTCTAACGGCCATCTCTCTGAGCCTGACAGACCTTCAGAACAACTTGTATTTCATCCTGCGTTTCAGAAAACCTCAGAACTGGTACACGTAGCTTTCTGCATTGTACACCTGTTGATAATTGCATGCATGTCTTTGCTGCCAGCATAATTTTGGGAAATGTCAACTAATTATGATGTAATGTGCAAATAAACTCTTGACTCTTTTAACTATGTAATTCCTTAACTGCTTCCAATACTGGGGTATGATCCCTTTCTATCAGTTATATTTTTCGTTTTTAAATGTATATTTTCCTGTGCTAGCTCCCAAGTAATAAATGCATGGTATTAATTTTAGTTCTCCAACACTAACACAAGCAAAGCTGTCTGGGGTTTTTTTTGTTCTGGTTTTTGGTTTTTTTTTACCTGCTGAAGTTGTTTCCAAGCAAATAGAAAATGAATGTACCATGACTCAGGCATGAAGCCTAAACTACTGGGCTTTTCTTTGTGATCTTGCACTGCATTTATCTGTGGGCAGTGTGACAGCAGTGCCAGACTTGGCATTGATGGGCATGACAGGGTGTCAAGGACTTATCTTGTAAGGTACGTAACACAACCTTTTTCCTAATGAAGCCTTTGGTATGATTGTGAAGTGCTACAGTGAAATACTTTAAGACTGAGAAACAAAACTATAGGTGTAACTGTAGCTCCCCTGCTGCCAGAGGTGTTTGAGCCCTAGCTAAAATTCTTCATTTCTAAAAACATGATGATTCCCGTCTTGCTATTAATGGCATCTAAAGCTGTAGATAAGGCTTGTAAATGAAAGAAAAGAATCTTATGGATTACTGCAGTTACGTGTATAAAAAGCCTGAAAAATAAATACCAAGTATCATAGCATATTTGCATATACAGGGAGCAAGCATGCTCTTCAGAGTATTTATTTATGTTTAAAGTCATGTAGAGTGGGCCCCAGGTTGGGATACATATGGAAGGATGCAGTTGCCGAGGCATATAGTCTCATATTCGCTGTCTGAAATACCTTACCTTGCCAGCAGGTGCACGTCTTGTGCAAGTCCTGTGCCTTATCTGCTCCAAATCAGCAGATGTAATGGATATTTCAGGGCATTCAGCCAGTTTAAGCCACTGACTCCTGTCCATTAAGTTCTGTTCTGAAACATTTTTGTATTGAATTTGTGAGGGTTTCACTGGAAGGTCATTCTGGTTGATTTCAATTTTGTTTATACCATGAGATGAGTTACTTGCATGGGAGCCTCTTGGAGAAGTACTGAAAGCAGGTTTTCAGTAGCTGCCTTGATTAGTCCTTGTTATATTTCATCTTTATTATCAGTTATAATTGTTGGGATGTTCTGGTTTTACTGGCATTGGTCAATCACGGACACGGTTTTTCTTTCATGTGGTTGAAATTATCACTAGTAACGTGTCTTGCATTCCCGCACCTGTGATAACTTGATCTTGAACAAGGATTCACAATTTTGGACCATCATTCAAAATGATCTAGTTATTGGTATCATGAATAGTGTCAATCTTTTGAATTGATTTATATGGGTAATGTGTCTCTCATCTGCTAAATAATACTGATCTCGGTGGAGATAAGATAAAACAATTGACCAAAAATTCTAGGAATTTGTGTTCACGTGAAAGCCCGTTGAAGACAAAATTTGCCCGGATACACGGTTACACTTCATTGTAGGAGATATTCTACTCTAAGCAGGCCATAATTGTAATATTCTCATTGTGTTGTTGCTGAGAATGCCAAGGTCTGAGTTAAGACAAGTAAAATAAATGTTTGGTATGTTCAAAGATTCTATGGCAAATAATAAAAGCATGGGAAAATGAGATCATATTATCGAAACAAGAATGAATGTTTGAATACTGTTTGGTTTATTGTTTTAACTGGGACTGTGCAAAGCAGAAGTTTGACATTTAAGGTTTTAACTTCACAGCACTGAAATGACAACAACCAAATGACTGTTTTCCCACTGTTTTGCTTCTTCCCGCAGAACGAGGTCACCCATTCTGTTTCAGAGTTGTCTATTCACTTCAAACCAGAAGAACCAAGTCCAGAAGATGAACGGAGAAAATGGGAGGAAGGGCGTATGGACTATATGGGGAAAGATGCTTTTGAACATATCAAAAAGAAATTGGATGCATTTTTACATTAAGATGGAGTGTACTGTAATGCCCATGATGATTTCTTCTATAAATGCAGTCCTTGAACACTTGGCTATCTTCATAGTTATTTGACAACGAAGTTAGAGAAAGATATGGGTCCTCATACATTTTGGGGGAAGATTACCAGATACAGATTCTTGCTTTTTTTAACTGTGCCTCATCTTTATTATGTGTGTCTCATCTTCATTGTTCTCCCATAGTGCCTTCTGAAGTATAATGAATGGTACCCTCTGAGTCTGAACTCTCATATTTATCACTCTTCTCTGCTCCTTCCCATAAGCATTCTGCAGAAATAGTCATGAGTGGGAAACATGTTGGAAGTTGAGATTATTTCACAAATTGAGATTATTCCAAAAGTACTTAGAGAAGATGCTATAAAACTATTTCAGTGAAAACCTTGTTCTTGAGACCAAGTTAACACTTCCAAGGGCAATCATAGTGTAGATTTCAATATGAGAAAAAAGTGAGGAGAGGAAATCCCGGCCTCATAGGAGTCTGCAATGAAACTTTTTAATGAAAGTATACTGGGGATTAGGGGAAATTCAGACTTTATCTGAGATCACTAATGGATGTTCTCCCTATTTATAGGAAGCTGCTCAGCTTCACCGCCAGCATAATGAAGAGTGGTGTAAAACTCTTAAGATAGACTGATAATGACTGATAACATTAACTTTTTATATTGTTGCTATAAGATACTGTTGTTTTTTAAAATATTGTTAGCTTTACTTGCGTATTTAGAGTTGCATAGTCAGAGGAAGAAATCCTGACACTATGGTGTAAACCTTCTGGTGCTTTATATCAATTTGTTTACAGTACTTCAGACTGCAGTTGACAGAAGCATTCTTCTTGTGTTGCGTGGTTGCCCCATATTGCAGGCAGTTTGAGTGCAACTGAAAACACAATTGGCACTTGTTTTAGAAAACAGGCCCTTTGAAGATCTTTTAAACAATAGCTGTGTGTGGGAACTAACATAAATCTGTGAGTGTAGTTCCAGAAAAATCTACTGATGAGATTCCATTATATTAAGTATACTTACGGGGGATTGCTTTGTGAATTTGGGTATTTAAATTTTACTAGTCTCAGCAAGTTGGTCTTAACAAACAAGGAAAAAGAAAGAAGCTTGACAGGCATGCTAATATGGTAACAATTTTGACAGTTATTCATAACGCCGCTCGGTAGTAGAATAAGAATTCTGCAGGCCTGATGCAGGACTTGAAACATGTTTCAGTCTTAATATGTCACAAATTTTGGGACAGATACACCTAGTGAAATAACTTGGGAATTCTGTTTAAAAAGCAGTGGTGTAAAATTATGCATCAGAAGGATTGCCATAGCTGCTAGTGGAGAAAAAGGCAGGGTAGGAGGGAAGGAATTTTTGTTTCTTTTTCCTCCATCAGAAAGGATGGAGGGGGGCAGGGAATAACTTGCACAAATTACGAAAGGAACGAAAGAGTCAAAAGGTTCCCTTAAAGGAAGAAAAAATATCTTTGAGTATTTTAGAATTAACTTCTAATATTCACAATAGTGGATTTTCTTTTGTGGGGTATTTCTGATTTTATCTAGTTCTTTATTTCTCATTTATTCTAAGCGCTCTTAGGGAATCTCTTTGGTGAGTCTACTGAATTCAAGCTTCTAGTTCAAATTAGATGTTTAGGGTCTCTGAAGTTGAAGAGAGAGATGTCCAGAAGATGATTCTTCTCGATTTCTCCATTGATCACAAAGGGATCCTCAACAGCCTGCCTCTCCTGGCTAGGTAACCTTCGCATGTTAACACAGGTAGGTGCATTCTACTTCTTGTTGTGCGAGGCCCAGTGCAGCACTATGCAGAGATTACAGCAACTGCAGTGTACTCTTACTTGTGTGGCATTTGGTCTGCTTATTATCCCTGTTTCTTAGTGGACTTGTGCACTTCTGAGAAAGTTTTCTGTTTTATAAGCATTATTGCTAATGTAATTCAGTTTTTGAAGACTATATAAAATCGTAGTCGACAATGTGAACTTATGCTTCATGCAGCTGTACTTTTTACAGTAACTACTAGATCTTACTGGGCACATTAATTGGATTATGGGAGAAGAATTACTGGCATGGAATCAGTAACTGAAAGGTTTTTAAATAGGCATATGAATGTAGGAAAAGGAGCTGTCATGGAATACGTTTGAAAGTGCTAATATGTAAAATGGTACTGAGTGGGGATTCTACAATGTTTTGCAAAGAAATGTAGCACATTAATGTCATGGAAATAAATTAGAAATGTAAAGGATGTATGAAGTCATGTGCTTATCAGATGATGCAGAGTTACAGGTTGTTTATGGTGTGCCAGGGAGTATTATTTGTGACTGACTGGTAACTTTAATATGTTTTTTAATTGTATTAAATTGCTTTTGATACATTAGCACTACCTGCTGAGAAGAATTAAAAGGTGTGAGTTATTATTTCTACAAACATACATAATTATAAGCTTTAGGATCTCTTGAATTAGCACAACAATTTGTTGTATTCCATGGAAAAGCATAGCTGTGGTTAAAAACCCTGCCCAAGTTTTTTTGTACTGTCTTCACACAAGAAATGTTGAACTAGTTACAAGTAATGAGGTGTCGTACTGGATTGTAGCACAGTACTGTTGTCACCAGAGTGTGAGAAGGGAGAATCTTGTGAATGAATTCAGAATTCGCACATGCTGTGCTTTGGGCAGCATTCTTTGCTCTGAAGGACATTATTCTGAAATATTGGGGCTACAAGCAGGTCTGGGAGTGTTAGGGGCTGCATTTTGCCGTGAAACACAAGGTTGGGGTTTGCTAAGTTGGAACATGACTTGGAAATAAAACTTAGCAAGCTTCACCTAGAATTTCTTCCACATTAAAGTGTGGTATAGCCCCAGGTATTTTTAGAGTAAAGAAAGTTAAGAAATGTAGGCTTTTTGGTGGCATCATTCCTCCCTAAACAAGACATATTTTCACTTTAGCAATTTGGAAGGTGCTATAGAATAATAAACTCAATGAAATATAACGGGGAAAAAAATGGCATGGTAAAATGAGAACCACTGACGATTTTTTACCAGCTGGTCTGTGCGTGTGTGTGACAGAGTTTTGTCAGTAGTGACCTGAGAAGCAGCTGTAAGGATTTTGAAAGGTCGGAGTCTGACCTATTGCTGTGTGGCAGACTCTGTATCTAAAGAGGACAGCTTGTGTGTTTAAAACAAAATGTGCTGATTCGTCTTCTGTCATGTGCTTAGAGTTACTCACAGCTAGACTTAGAGGCTAATTTATTGGGTGCTCTTAATGTATAAACAGGAGATAGTGTGGGTGTGCCACAAGGAAAATTCTTGAAAATTTTAGACATGTGGGTTAATGCGCTTTCCTAGCCTAGAGGAAAAGGAGATTGTTGTTCTTGAAATATCACTTTACTTACTGTCTGGTCTCTTGTTGAGGACCTTTCCAACTGGGTTGCTCTTGGGAAAGAACTAGTTTCCTTTGTCTCTCTAATTCAGTCAGCTCACATCAGTTGTTTTGTAAGGCTGGTATTTGAAAAAAAAATAAAAAATAAAATGCTTAGTTACTTTTTTACCTTGATTTTTCTGGCCATGGATGGGAGGCTGGGTTAGTAGCAGGTGGCTTTATATGTTTGCATGCTGCTGAGAATGTCTACTTGTTCAACAGAAACAAGTCTGCAGTATGCCTATTTATTCCTTAATGGGTCTGATTCTGTTGTTTTGCTAATCTAAACTGTTCTGATTCCTGCAGTTTGAAAATAATTTGATTAGGTCATTCTATGGAAAAAAATTGTTTTATGTGATAGATTGCTTTTTCCGCCCTCAGTTTTCTCTTCATCATTTTGGGATTTTATTTCTGTGGTGTGTTTTTTTTTTTTTTAAATCAGCCCTATAAATAAGATTAAATGCATAGCAGTCAATTCTTAAATAGGCTGCAAAAATACATGTCAGTTACTACTAGTCGTTAAAGTAGTCTGCATTTTCAGCGTATTGGCTACAAAACGTTTCAGTTGAAGTTCTGTTCATCCTAAGTTGGCTGGCTCGTAAATAATAGTTTCTTTGGTCCTGACGGTTTAAAGAGGTGACACTTAAGCAATATGTTGCATTCTGGTATAAACTTTCAACTTGTTGTAATAACAGCATACCATAATTGTAGCAAAGGTAGTTTAAAAAAAAATACAATTATATATAATTTACTTTAAAACATTATAAAAACTAATTGTTAGAAGACTGACGATGATATACTATGAATACTATGAAGACAGTTGCAAGCATTTTTCCTGCATTTTACTTTGACTGTTGTAAGAACACTTTCAACTTCAAGAAACTGGAGGGGAAAAAAAATTAAAATTCCAAGAGTCAGGCTCTGACTTGTGATTATTTTAATACTGTTCCCACTTCAGGGTGGCATGATCTTAACTACCTTGGAAAAGTTTGTTCCCTTTTATGGTACTGTACAGGGTTCTGAACCATGGTAAACAGGTGATTTTCTTTTAGATGAGTAATATCAGAAACGGATGATTTCCTTCATTTTAGACAACTATGATTTTCAAAGCCTTCTTATAGTAGTAAATGCTTGGAACAAAGCTGATTGCATGTGATGGGTGGGTACCTGCTTTATGTTTTGGTTAGTTTAAAGACTTATTTTTTTAAACCTCCTTAAATTCTTTGTGTTTCCAAACCTTTTACTTACAACTTTTAGACAAATGGCAGAACAGAAGCCAGGGTTGTTTGGAACCTGTAATATACCCATTTACCTCAGAAACGTGCGGTTGTTGTGGATTTTTTTTAATGTTCTTTTTTTATTGTTTTCAAAAAAAATCTTAGTAATGCAGTAGTATGGTAATTCAAAGAGAAACTAGGTTTCTAGTAAATTTGATTTTTGCAGAGTTGTTTAGATGTAACATTACAATCAAAACTTTCTACAAAAATCCTCCGATATTTTATTCACACACTATATATGTGTGCGCATGTATTTTAACCTGCAGTCTGGTGGTGAGCAAGAGTTTTGTCATATTTACTCTTTCTTTTTGGGTGTTCATGCAAATGTTTCTCGAATATACTCAGAGTCCCCAGGATTTTCATACTGGATAAACTTTGAGCTCAAATTGCTTTTCTCAGTTTATCCATTACACAAATTATTTTGCATTCTCAAATGATGGGATCTTGTGATCCATGCTCTGGCTTTCCCTTGGATGCCAGCAGGGAGCAAAGCGATGTGTCTGGTATTTAAATGTGGTGAAGTGAGATCTTTTAGAAGCCTATTGTCTCTCTACTGTGAGACTGGGCGCTTGCTTTGTTGAGTCAGTCCAATGCAGCAATTCCAAATGTCATTTAATAATGATCAAACTATTTAGATGGAAGTTGGCTTCATACAACATGAATGTCAAACACTTATACACTTCAGCCACAGCTCTTTCAGTAAAAACAAACTTCATTTGTTACAAAGTAATGATTCCCTCTCTATGGTGTCTATGTTTAACCATTTCTAGGCAAATTCTCCTATGGTTAACGCTGGTTTGGAGATTTGCCAGTTGTCTCAGGTTTTCCCAATAGGATATTTTATGTGGTGCTTGATCCCTTCTATGAAGGGAGAGACCATGAGGGGGGAAAAAAAAAAAAAGAGAAAGCATATAATTTGGCTTTTATTTTTATATTCATATATTTTGCAAAAGATCATTATAGATTATTTTTCAGACAAACCTAGGTAACTGACTTAAGAGTCTATTTCTTTCAGTATTATTCAAATGCAAACAGGTTTTGTAACAGCTTTTTACCTATTAATGCATTTTATGTGGAAGAGTGCACCAGGAGAACTCTGAAGTGCGATGTTGGGTTCACCTGCGTTACAGGGAATATACTTTTCCCAGGAGGCCAGAATAACAGCTTATGCAGAGCTTGCATGTTCTGGTTAGAGTGTATACAGATGAAGAGATCAGCACCCTCTCCATGGCTAGGATCTGCAGGAAACAAGTAAAATAATTTACCTCCTTTCCCTGTTTACCACTGTCTCCTCAAAATTTGCAACTTCTAAGATACATTTAGCTTTAGACAGTGAAAGGAATTTAGAACTGAAAATAGTCTTCCCTCCTGTCCGCCGTGTTTTATGGAATGACATTGTGCATCCTATTCAGTGATTTCCCATTACTTTGTTCTCCTTCTCCCCTGCAGATTACCTCTGTGTGTACTGTCTGCCCTCTTCGTCTTTCTGTGTGGGGAGAACCCATTTCCCTGTGCCTGGTTGAGTTCCCTAAGAGTTGCTTAACAAAACCCAGTTGTTCTATGTTGCCAGGCCTGTTTTCCCCACCTCCTGCCCAAAAGCCCCTCTGGCTTTCCACAGATGCCAGCCAAGATGAAATCATCTGCATTTGGATGTTTGGAAGGCAGTGCTTATATTGACGTGAGTCCTTAGTGCCTGACTCTATTTGGCAGTTTAGCAAATTTACCTTTCAGAGGAGTGAGGTGTTGCACAAATGTTTAATGTTTACTGTTATGTGGGGTGATGCTTTTCCTGAGGCAAAGGGCAGGCTCACGATGGATGTGGTATAAGCCAATCCAAATGCACTCTGATTGTGTTGCTAGCTCTTAGCCTGGCTTTAAACTTGGGCGCAAAGCGTTCACATTGTGCTTGGAGGTGGAGTTTGGGGGCTTTGCTGATGTACTGGGCTTCCCAGTGTGCCAACAGGAGCTTAGACCTATGCTTACATGCTGCATGGGTGCTTGAACACCTTCCCATGCCCTGGTAAATGCTCTAATTGTGGCCTCATCTGTGACTGGCCATGCTCTTGTGTATAAATAAGGGTGGGTGAGTGGGGAGGGCAGTGAGGTGAACTGAGGAAAACTGTATCCTCATGCTTAACTGACAATGTAGATGTTGCTGAACTGACTGGCTTGACTCTAGAGAACAACTTTTGGCTTTGTTCCCCACTGAGCAATAAGATTTCTCCTCCATCTCTGAATCAACCAAAATGGCTTTAAACTGCATGGTCTTTTTATGCTCTTTTCTTTCTGCATGAATCCAGTGAGATGCAGTTGCGCTGGTTTCAATCCCTGTCAGCCACAGAAAAATGTCAAATCTTCTGACAAGTTCTTAGCGATACTGATGTGGATTTAAATGCTATCAAGCAGTAAGAACAAATGTATTTTTAGATACTTCTGTCAAGTCTGACATTGATGTGTCCTATCAGTTCATTGTCAGATTAGCCCTTTGATTTATGTGGAATAATTTGCTTGGTGACCTTTTAGAGGAAAGGTAAAACAGGAAATAACCTGAAGAAATGCCTGGTCAGCTTTTTGGAAACTTGGCATTTCGTGCTGCATCATGGTCACAACCTGTGCTGTTTAGAGCAAAATAACAGCGACTTACCACACCGGTGACATACCAGATCGGGGGTTTAGGTCAGGAGCTTGCCTGAAAACACTGCAAAAGGTGCACAGTCCAGGCACGCACAGTCTTTTGTCCTGAGGCTGGTGAAAGGGCTGGGACCTGCTGTTGCAGCTCAAGAGCTGCGAGAGCAGTGCACTGCTCTGGGATTATCAGCTGCCAGGGGCTGCCTTATCTCTTCCCGTTTCTAAAAGGCAAAAAATGACACATGGACAACCTTGGTACTGAACAGAGCTGCACTGGTGCAATTCTGCAAAGTGGCTCTCTTTAAGGAAACAAGTCACCTGAAGCACCTGCTGTGCTGCTCTTACCGTCTCTTGTTACTTTTAAAATCTTGGTGACATTTAGCTGTGTGCTAGCAGTGAATATACAGCGTTCAGGAAGGTGTAGAAGTTTGAGTCTGAGTCTCTGGCACACAACCTACTTTTTCTGAAGCAGAAAATGCAGGAACCTCCACTTTAAAATTGGATTTGACACAAAAACCCTGCAAGAGCATGGTTAGGATTATATATTGAGAGATGAATTTATTTAACCTGAGGGCAGCAAGAGAGGATTAGATATTTTAATTCCCTCCCTTTCCCTAATGACTGTACAGAGTGCTGACACTTGTTTGGCTTGGAGAGGATGACCTGTACACTGAAGTGATTAGTGTGTGCAGTGAATTTTTTTAACACCTCCTACTGAAAACAAAATGCTGTCTCACAAAACAAAGCACGTTTTTCATGGGGCATAGTAGCACTCTTACGAAATCAGGAGCATTATCGCTCAAGTGGGACATGCAGCTTATGAATTGGTCTCGCAGATCATGAAATTTGTGACCTATCTTGTCAAGGCAGCTGGGTGATGATTTTCAATGCTTTCACAAGTGAGATGACTTAACAACGTGGAAAATATATCTCAGCAGGCATTGCTGTGGTTTAACATTTCAGAATAGCTAGATACTTCGCTGCTGAACTTGAGGTGATAACTTTAACTACCTAATTTCTAAAACATACCTGTCAGTTCAGTTTTTTCCTGGGAATTCTCACATGATAGATAAAGGAATGTACAGATGAGGCAAAAAAAATACTGTAAATTAGTAGGTGTTTATTTCTTAGAGGCCAGTTTGTTTTGGTATGTTTCCAAATTAAATGTGCATTTGTGCTTTTAAACACAGGACAGTTTTCTCATTAAAAAGATAAGACCTGAATAAGGATTCCTTCCTGGGCTCAGTCCTGTTGCCTTAACAAGCCTATTACCTGTACAAACAGCTCCAATTAAAGTTTGGTCTCTTACCATTCATAATTTACTTGAATTGAAAATCAGTAAGGAAAGAAATTTTGTCTCATTTATTTGGGTATTTGATCCTGAATTATGTGCTTGAGGGATAGATTATACAGGTGACCCATAGGTGGAATATGTTTTGGAGCATTTTTAACTTTTTTTTTTTAAACTGCAGGCTTACTGAATTTCTGTGAGTAAGAGAAAAGGTTGAATAAAAAGCACCAATAAGGTCCCTTTCAGTTACTCCGGTGTAATTTGACTCATATTTCTGTGTGACTGTAGTCACGTGAATGTGAAAACTACCATCTTTTTTTAAAGCTAACTGTACTTTGATTTTGGTATTAAAGTATTCCATCTGCCTTGTTGTTTTCCTCATCACACCAACAGAACGGGAATGTGCCACAGCATGGCTGCAGCCATGGCTTCCATATATTATTGTAAGGAGACAGCTGTTGTGGGACTGGAGTCAGTGTCTTGCGATGTTCTTCTACAGCCTCTCCTATTCTCCTCATTACAGTGTCGAACAAGGGCTCAGTGTCGGCTGATAGAGGATTTGCCTCAGAAGGATCTTTTGAGAGATCAAACAGCAGCGGAGGGTCATGATGGGTTACCCCATCCCCAAAACATGGGCAAATTCCTCTTCCAAAACAGGCCCCAGAAGCTTCTGGTTGGAATACTGGAGTAGCATAATGAGCTTTCCATACAGTGCCACCTGTGACAGAAGAAGCACATTTGAACAGCTTAAAGGCATTAGGAGTCAGGGGAGGTCGCTGAAAGGTTGGTTCACGTTTTAAGTGATCTGCTTTGTCATTCCTTGGGCAAGCTTATGTTGGGCTTGTCACATATGGGGAAAGGCTCTTTTGGGAGCTGGCAGGGATTCAGAAGGGTTTTCATGCATCTTGGGCACACCTTGGCTCTGGGTATGTGCAGGGCCATATATACTATGTGGGTGGTTAAGTCTAATTATTTTGGGTGCAGAGGGAGTCTCTGTCACTTTCTTGTGTCCCTTTGAAACTCTATGTGCCCCTTGGGGGGCGGCATGGGCGGGGGGAATGGAGAATGTAGCCCCCAATGAAGATACTGGTAGGTGGTTCTTCAGTTTGCTCTGTACTTTTTGAGCCAAGAAGAGTACCTGGACAGAAACTGATCACAGCTCATTTCCATGCTCATGTTCCAGCACACTTTCAAGTCGAGTGGTAATTGCAGGCCACGAAAACAGTAAAATCTGGAGTCTCGTTTTTCACATTAATATGATGAATGCAATGAGATTGCAGCTTTAGAGCTTGTACTTTATCAAGCTCTAGTACTGACTACTGGATAAGTGCAGGTCTGTAACTTGTAATGAAGAAATGACAAATGACTAGGAATAAATCTGAATGCAGTTAAACAGGAGATGTTCCTTCCTTCTCTCCCCACCCACCTTATTCCTCACCCCGCGTTCAGAAAGCACTACACTGAACTCAGAGGCAAGGATGTGCCCAGGAAGGAGACAGTAATTAGACACTATATGTGAAACAGGGAGAGCAAAAGAAAGAAGGGGACGTCCAGCACTTCGAGCCACTTCTGTAATACGTTAGGCAGAAACAGGTGACAATTGCATTGTCCCTACATGGCATTTTCTTTTTTCTTCAATGGAATCTGCTTAACTGTCCTCCCTTCTATTGTCTCTTTGTGACTGGGAGTCTGCAGGTTTATTCTTCTCTCTGTTGTGTCACTACTGCTAGAGCATATTTTGTTAATAAGTAAAATTTAAAAGCAACTTAAAAGGTGAGCAGGAACAACATACTAAGGTTCCGAAAATATTTTAGCTTAAAATCTCCAGTTTCTGGCTGGTTGGCTGGCTAGCTATGTATCCATTTCCACCCCACAGTTTCCATGTCTTGCTAAGCTATGCTGCTGCACTTCTGTCGAGGGATGATGTCTCAATGGTTCTGAAATGTTTTGGCATAATAGTTAGAAATGTTTCAGATTTCAGATATCTCGATTTCTGAAATTGTGAGAGAAAGGATGCAGAAGGTTGGTTTAGGTTTTTTTAAAGGAAACAGGCTCACTTCCTGATGGCTTACAGAGGACAGGTATTCCTTAGGTGTATGCTTTGCTCCCTGTAACTTATACACCATAAGGCAGTCCGGAGAAGTGAGTGTAGGGTGTTTGAGGAGAATTGTTCTGATTCTGGAAAATTTTAAAGCTCACTTTTCACAGCTGCAAATAATTACTGGAGTTGCAGAGTGGGAGAGAGCCAGTTCCTTGTTACTTAATTCAGAAGGATACAGTGAGGCTGATTGTAATTAACCTGTGTTGGTGAGCTGAGAAGACAGCTGGGTTACAGCAGGATAAAAGGAAAAAAAAAAAAAAAAGGTGGGAGAAATCAGTGCTGATGGAAACAGCAGGGGTTACACTCATCTCCAAAAGGCAAAGAGGCATATGCAATTTGCTGTTGAAGTAGCTCTGACAGAATTTGAAGGATGCGTGTGAATTTTAGGGCAACGTGTTAATATAATATGTCCAAGGGAATGGAAACCTGCTTCTTCAATCCAAACATCTCTCAAACCCATCTGGTAACAATCAATCAATTTAACGAGCAGAAAGAAACGAACTGTCACTAATAAGCCTTATTGTGCTGTGGTAGAGGAAAGGACTCTTTAACATAGAGACAAAGGATTCTTCTGGCTTCAGTGAAGGGCTTAATTGATGAGTCCTGCCTGGGTGACATCAAGACACAATGGCTTCACATCTAGCCTGTCCAATAGATAGAAGTAAACAGACAATAAATATGTAATATGAACGTGATATACTTGTAAATGAGCTAAAACAGACTCTAAAAATCCTGTCAGCTCAGTCAGAAGTAATGGCAGTTGGAGCTAAGAATCACAATTTCTGGCTTGGCTGAAATTTGAGCCCCACAGTAATATTTGATTAGCCAATTTTTCATGGGCAGGACAGCCCCTTGTTTTCAGCTCCTTTGCCATGAGCAGTTGTGGTTCAATGGGGAAAATGGTAGAAAGGTGTATATAGGAGATCTAGTCATGCATGTGGCTTCACGGGAACACAAAATGCACCTTGCATCTGCACATTGTATCTGTGTTACAGGCAGCACGGCCAACTAGAAACAGATCTGGAGAGCAGAATGGTTCTAGATGCCTTGACATCCATGCTGTGGTTGTCTGGGGGTGTTTTACTGGGGGCTAACTCTTGTCTGGTCCAATCTATACAACATCTTTTAGTCATTAGAACATATTAGGTATTATCCTGAAGCCTATTTACAGTTTCATCTAAACTAAAATGATGATCTCCAAGCCCGTTCCACAATGCAACTCAAAGCACAGTGAGTGGGTATGCTCAAGAGGGGATTGCTTAAAAGAACGCTTCTGATCTGAACTAAAATTGCAATGTAGTCACACCTTGCATAGCTGAGGGGAGCAAGAGGTGAAAGCTAGGTGAGGAGAACAGCAGTCCTTTAACCAAAGTTAAACAGTTCTTCAAATGCATCCCTTGATGGAGTATGTATTTAGCCTTTCATTAGGGAAGTGTCAACTGATCTCTCTCATCTGAAGATGATGAGAGGGCTGGAGCACCCCTCCTGTGAGGAGAGGCTGAGAGAGTTGGGGCTGTTCAGCCTGGAGAAGAGAAGGCTCCGGGGAGATCTTATTGCGGCCTTCCAGTACCTAAAGGGGGCCTACAGGAGAGCTGGGGAAGGGCTCCTTATATAGGACGAGGGGTAATGGTTTTAAACTGAAAGAGGGTAGATTTAGATTAGATGTTAGGAAGAAATTCGTTACTGTGAGGGTGGGAGACGCTGGAAGAGGTTGCCCAGAAAGGTTGTGGAAGTGCTCAAGGCCAGGCTGGATGGGGCTATGAGCAAGCTGGTCTGGTGGGAGGTGTCCCTGCCCACGGCAGTGGGGTGGAACTAGGTGATCATCAAGGTCTCTTCCAACCTAATCCATTCTGTGATCACTAATGGCAGCTCTAACAGCTGGACTGTCATTCTCAGTCTCTTAACTCCCCAGTCTGCTGAGTATTGGATACGTGGGG